TGTGGCTTGCGGTGAACCCGCGCCACACTCTTTCGAGAGGGCCCTGTACATCCTGGAGGCATCCGATTCCTCGTCGGCCCCAGAAAGCTCCAGCAGAACGTCCTCCACGTCGGTCACTCTGACACGATTCCCATAATTGAAGTGCGTCTTTAGGAGAAGAAAAACATGGCATAAGCACAGATGTTCGGATCTCCGCGCGGCTTTCTTGGATCTGCGCTGAACCGCCCTCCTGGCGCGCGCGCCAGGGGCGGCGCCGGAGGCGCCACCAGGGGGGCCCAGCGCCGATCCGAGAGATCCGCGCGGAGCTCCAAAAGCTCATGTTCTCGCCAGGTTTCCCTTTTCGAGTCTTGTATCTCTCATCGGGTGCTCCAGGGGCCACTTCCACTTCTACTCCGCAGCTGTCGTCGTCCAGGGATGCAGCCGAGGCCTTCCCGCTGAAAGTGCAGAGTGCGACCGCAAGGAAAGAGCACAGAGCGCGACGACACTTCATCGTGATACATATCGATCAAAACATCTTGAGCCTCGCGCCGAAGTGGCAACGGAACGCATCTGGCTGTGCTGTGGCTGTCCGAGGGTCCTTTTCGAGCGCTCTCGCTGTGTCTCGAGGCCGTCTCGGAGCCCTCCCAGACATCCGACGTCTCGATGTTTTCGAGGCGCGGGCCCCCGACCTCCCGACCACTTTCTTGGGACCGGCTTCTCATCCCGAGCCGTTTTCTGACGGCCTCGAGGCCCGGCGAGGGCCCCGAGAGGCCAATAGCTATGAAAAACCTCCGTCTCGATTTGTTCAAGACGCCCGATGTCTGGGCTCTTGGAGCCCTCTCGCGCCATCTCGGGCTCTCCCGGGGGATCCTCGGGGGGGGGTTCTCCTAGGGGAGGTCTCGGCGGGCACGCGGGCTCGCCTTTGAAAGGGGCCCTGGGACACAGAAATAAACAGATACAAATCACAGGATTCCCCATAATTATTTCCCCAGATTGTCTTGATTTTCGTCTTCCCCCCCGCTTCCCACATTTGCCCATCCTTTCCTGGGGATCGACGATCAATCGTGTCTGTGCCTCTGTTCCCTCCTGAGCCTCGGGGAGCGCCGAGGCCATTCCCGGGAAGGTCCGCAGGCGGAAGACACCGGGAGGGCCGAGGCCGCGGGTTAGGGGCCTACGACGAGGGGGCGCCGCCCCTGGGCGGACAAAGCCACGAGCTGGGCCGCGGGACTCTCTTGGAGCGCCTTCGATCGGACTGCCTGTGGGCTGCCTCGGGGTGCTCCTTCAGGGGGCTCCTCGGGGCTCCCCAGGGGGCCTCCTCGCGGGGGGTTCTCGAGGCCTCCCAGGCCGTCGTGGCGCGCCTCGGGGCTCTCCTGGGGGGCCGCCAGGCCAGGAGGGTGCCCCTGCGGCCCAGGGCCGCGAGGCTGGCGCGGCCTCGGGGGCAGCTGGCCGTGGAAGCCGGCAACGCCGCAGCAGATTGCAGAACGGCCGACCAGCCACAACTGGGGGAGCTGTGGGCCTCACCCCCCCGGGGGGAACCCCTCGCGTCGACGCTCTCTCGAGAGGGGCGTCGAGATCGATGGGCCCCCCGGGGGGGGTAAGGACCACAGCTCCCCCAGTTGTGGCTGGCCTGAACGGAGCCAGGTGTTCGACTGGAACTGACACTGGAGCACAGATCTCGACGCTCGCGTGGCTGCAGGCTGGTGCCCCCTGCCGTTGCGCGTCCGGGTCCGCCGCCGTGCCTCTGGGCCCGGAGTGGGCGCGTCCTCCGGTCCTTTGCCTGATCCTCGAAGCCGCCGTCCTCACTCCTGACAACGTCTCTGAGGGGCCCGGACCCAAACTTCCGAAATTCGGCGGGGGGTCCTGCGTGCCACCCCCCCTGTGCTCCAGGAAGGGTTTCCCGCACTCTTCGGGCAAAAGAGGGGCCCAAGACGGACCAAGAGGGCCCCACGCAGCCCCCAAGACGGCCCATGAGGCCCCAGGATGCCCAAAGACCGGCCCAAGATGCCGAAGATGGCCTCCAGATGGCCCAGGAGGCCTCCAAGACGCTCCAAAAGGCCTCCAGAGAGGCCTCCCAAAAACAAGACTAACGGATTCGCGTTCGGTTTTTCCGAAACATTTTGGCGTTCTCGCCTTCTCGGTTTTCCGACGCTCCAAGACGGCCCAAGAGGCCTCCAAGATCATCCCAAAACGGCCCAAGAGGCCTCCAAGAGGGCCCCAAGACCGCCGAAGAGCGCCCCAAGACGGCCCAAGAGGCGCCGTGCTGCGCCTAAGACGGCCCAAGAGGGCTCCAAGACGGCCCCCAAACGGGGCCCAAGAGAGGGAGCACGAACCGAACATCCGAGCCTTCCGTCCGAGGCCCCCACCCCCAGGAGGCCCCACGAGGCCCACAAGAGACCCCCAAGATACCGAAAGATGCCCCCAAGAGGCCCCAAAGAGGTCTCAAGAGGCCCCCAAGCTGCCCCCAAGAGGCCTCCAAACTGCCTCCAAGAGGCCCCCGACAGGCCTCCAACGAGATCCCAACGAACATCCTTTAGGCTCTGACCCCCAGCCCAGGCACGGTGGCGGGATGGGCCGAAGGCCATTCGATCCGCCGCCCCCTGTTGATTCATCACAGGGGTGCCTGGCGTGCTGAATCCTCTAGGTTTTGGTTTTGGTTCTTTTTCCAAAAGAACTCCCCCTGGGGCTCCGGCGCGTCCCGCCGGGGTCCCGGGAGGATTGCCACGGACCTCAATTCCATACTTTTTCTGTCAAGACGGCTCCAAGATGGCCTCCAAGATGCCTCCAAGACGGCCAGGATGATCTCCAAGACGGCTAAGATGGCTTTCATATGCCTCCAAGACGGCCCAAGACCAAGACGGCCCAAGAACGCCCAAGAGGCCCCCCAGAGGCCTCCCAGACGGCCCAAGAGGCCTCCAAGAGGTCCTCCAGGAGGGCCCGACGAGGCCAAAATCATTGATTTTCTTTAGGTTTGAGAAGGTTTTTGGAATTTGCTTCTTCTCGGCATTCCGACGGCTCAAGACGGCCCAAGAGGCCCCCAAGATCGCCCAAAAGGCCCCCAAGAGGGCCCCATGACGGCCCAAGTGGCCTCCAATATGGCCCCAAGAGGGCCCCAAGACGGCCCAAGAGGCCTCCAACACGCCCAGGATGGCCTCCAAGACGCCCAAGATGGCCTCCCAGACGGCCCCGAAGCGCCCCAAGAAAAGGCCCCCAAGACGGCTCCCGACGGCGTCAGACGTGCCAGGAACCCACCAAGATGGCCGAAGTTGGCTCGAAGCTGGCCCAAGACGGCCCAAGAGGCCCCGAAGAGGGCCTCCAGGAAGCCAGAAGAGGCTCAAAACCTTAATGTTCCTGAGGTTTTCGACGGAGTGTGACATTTGCTTCTTTTCGGCCTTCCGACGGCCCGAGACGGCCCAAGAGCCCCCAAAAATCGCCGAATGATCGCCCAAGAGGCCTCCAAGATGGCCCCAGAACGGCCCAAGAGGGCCCCAAGACGGCCCCAAGAGGCCCCCAAGACGGCACAAGAGGCCTTTAAGACGCCCAAGATGGCCTCCAAGACGGCCCTGGAGCATTCCAAGAGGCCCCCAAGACGGCACAGGAGGCCCGCCAAACGGCTGCCGACGACGTCAGACGGACCAGGAGCCAACCAAGACGGCCGAACATGGCCCTAAGATGGCCCAAGACGGCCCAAGAGGCCTCCAAGAGGGCCTCCAGGGAGGCCCGAAAATGCCAACATCATTGATTTCTCATGGGCTTTTGAAGGATTGTGGCATCTGTTTGTTTTTCTGCCTTCCGACGGCCCGAGAAAGCCCAAGTGCCCCCAAAGATCGTCCAAGAGGCCCAGGACACCGCCCCAAGAGGCCCCCAAGACGGCCCAAGAGATCTCCAAGACGTCCTACAAGAAGGCCCGAAAGGGTCAAAATGGCCTCCAAACGGCCAAGATGACCTTCAAGATGTCCACGTGTTCCCCGAAGGCTTTCCAAACCGATTCGGGGAACGCATGGTCCGATAGCTTGGCAGGTCTGGTTTCAACGTTCGGCCACATAATTAGACGCTTCCAAAAAGGCAGGGGGCGGCGGTGATTCGCCGTAGGCGTCTTCGATCCGCCGCCCCCTGTTGATTCATCACAGGGGTGCCTGGCGTGCTTAACTTCTTACGGTTTTGGTTTTGGTTCTTTTTCCAAAAGAACTCCCCCTGGGGCTTCGGCCCGTCCCGCCGGCCACCCGGAAGGATGCCGAAAATTCTTCTGGAGGTGGTTGCAAAGGGATTTTCCGTTCCAGACGGCTTCAAGATGGCCCAAGATGGCCTCCAAGACGGCCCAAGATGGCCTCCAAGACGGCTAACATGGCCCCAAGATGCCTCCAAGACGGCCCAAGATGTACCCAAACCGGTCTACGACGGCCCAACAGGCCCGCAAGATGCCTCCAAGACGGCCCAAGAGCCCTCCGAGACGTCCTCCAGGAAGGCCCAAAAAGGCCAAAATCATGTATTTTCCTTACGTTTTTGAAGGATCTTGGCATTTGCGCCTTTTCGGCTGTCCGACGGCCCAAGACGGCCCAAGAGGCCCCCAAGATCGCCCAAGAGGCCCCCCAAAAAGGGCCCCATGACGGCCCAAGTGGCCTCCAAGACGGCCCCAAGAGGGCCCCAAGATGGCCCAAGAGGCCTCCAACACGCCCAGGATGGCCTCCAAGACGCCCAGATCACCTCCAAGACGGCCCCGGAGCGCCGTGTTCGGCCTCCGGGGGCCCCGGCCCGGCCCCAGGGGCCGTCAAGAGAGGGCTCGGGAGGAGAAGCTGGCCCCCGGGCAGGCGTCGGGGCTTCCGGGCACCCCGTACGGAGCAAGTCAGGGGCGTTGCACCTCTGGGGCGTGGCCGTCTCAGGCCGTCCTGGGGCCGCCCTGGGCTGCTCTTTGGCCCTCTGGGGGGGGCTCCATGGGGCGGTTTGGCAATCTCGGGGCGCTCTCGGGGGCACGCTTGGCGCTCCTTCGGGCACGATTGACCTTCTCCTGGGCCCTCTGTTGGCCGCCTGGAGCCCCAAGGAAGGAGATCCCAATGACATCCACGACGACACAGCACATCGCCAAACGTCTGGCTGTGCTTCCTGACGGCATGTTTGAGGAGGCGGGATGGGAGCGGAACCCAAGCGCAACTCGGCGAGGCAGTGCAGACGGAAGTGCGGACCAGATGGCGGAGACGGGAACCGAGAGCATGGAGGGCAGAGAGAGAGAGAGAGAGAACGATAACAACAAAAAATGAAAACGATGAGCGGAACAACCTCCATCTGAGAAGCGTCAGACGTACTACATAAGAAACAGTAAATCTCGCTGTGCAACGCTGGTGCGGACACAGAAACATTCCATAACTCCGCAAGCTGCACATGCGCAATGAAAAAGTACGTATCGACAGCAAGAGGCGAATACAACTGACGAGACAACCCTGATGAAACGGGCCGAGCCCAAGCCCGATGGCCCAATAGCGAGGAATTCAACGCACATGTGGCATTGCAGCGATCATCACAAGTCTTCGTGGCACTTGGTGATCTTCGTCCCTGCTACGCCATGTGTTGCTAAGCAACCTTGCAGCTCTGGATTCGCGGCGACATTCCAAGCATGCGTCTCCAAAGTGAGCTTTGTTGCGAGGCTGGGGGGCAAGATGCCGCTGAAATTGTTGCCCTGCAACTGGAGCTTCACAAGATCCAGTCTCGCCAAAGACTCTGGAATGGTGCCCTCCATCATATTATCGTAAAGGTCTAGGGACTGGAGTGATGGCCAGACATCTGGAAGATTCTCAGGGATGGCTCCAGTGAGGAAGTTGCCGTCCAACCATAGCTTTTCGAGGCTGGACCAACCCAAACGCACGAACTCAGCAAAGGGGAATGCGTAAGAAAACTCAGGACAAGAAAACATCGGGCTTTCGGAATCTGTCCGGAACAAGTTCTTCGTCTCCCAAGTCACTCTGCAACGACTCATATTTTTCGATAGCTTCTTCAGAAGGCATGGGCTAAACTCTGACTGGCCAAAGGCCACGAAAGACTTGAGGGAGCGAAGGCCAGCGAGAGCCTTTGGCGGCGACGTCATCATGCAGCTTGTGCAGTAAAAGTTCTGCAGGTTGGTCATGGAGCTCCAACAGGCTGGAATGTGACCAACGTGCACAGAGTCGCCGCGGAAATCCGCCGACCCTGTCGGCGTGTGGAGTGGCCTTCTCCGCTTGCCTCGTCGCCGTCGCCGCTGGCGTCGCCGCCACGGAGCCCAGCGTCACAGAACTCATCCTCGAGTCGGCCTCGCCGCGCCGTCGGAGGGGGACTCGTCGCGTCCCTGGGGAGGTCTGTTACCAGCCTCGAACGTATCCCCATCCCTAAGATTGACACGACAAAAGGCGATGACAATCTTAGGGATTCGCCCTCACAAAATAAGGGAATCCCTAAGATTGCCATCGCGATGAGGAGGTGCCCAGCATAGGGATAGGGATATGCTCCAGGCTGGTAAGTCTGGGGGAGCGGGCCCGGATCAGGATCCTCGCCGCTCCCTGGTTCGACTCGCCGCGTCGTTGGGGTGGTCCGGGGGACGGGCCTGGACCAGAAACCTCGCTCCCTCGCTCGGGAGCCGGGCAGAAGACGTCTGAAGGGAAGCCCTTTCCGTTGGATCCCTTCCCCGTCAAGGGGGGGGAGGGTGATCCCGTGGGAGGGTTGCGGGGAGGGGTCCTGGGGAGAGCCTGGGGGGGTCCTGGGTCGGAGTGCTCCCCGCTGCCTGGTCCTCCAGCGGAGCTCGTCCAGGGGGGCGGGCCCGGATCAGAATCCTCGCCGCTCGATGGTTCCGGAGCCGAACAGAAGAGATTTCAAGGGAAGCCCCTTCCCTTGGAATGCCAACGCGACGGGTCAAACCCCAATGGGACGGGTTCCTCCTCCTCCTCCTCCTCCTCCTGCTGCTGCTCCTGCTGCTGCTCCTGCTGTCCTCCTCCTCCTCCTCCTCCTCCTCTCCTCCTCCTCCTCCTCCTCCTCCTCGTCCTCCTCCTGCTGCTCCTGCTGTTCCTCCTCCTCCTCCTCCTCCTCCTCCTCCTCCTCCTCCTCCTCCCTCCCCTCCTCCTCCTCCTCCTCCTCCTCCTCCCCTCCTCCTCCTCCTCCTCCTCCTCCTCCTCCTCCTCTGCCTTCTCCTCCTCCTCCTCCTCCTCCTCCTCCTCCTCCTCCTCCTCCTCCTCCTCCTCCTCCTCCTCCTCCTCCTCCTCCTCCTCTCTTCCTTCGCCTCCTCATCATACCTGCGGTTCTCCTCCCAGAGCTCCCAGTAGGGCATCCACGACGGATGGGGGGAGCGCGCAGCCCAAAAGCTTGCCCAGACTTTGGCCCATACACGCGCTTCCTCGAGGGCCCAGATCTGCGGTGATTCGCCGCAGGCTGGGAAGAGCACATGCGGACCCTCTTCGCGGGGCTCGCCACGGACCTGGAGGCCCTCAGAACGCGTCATCACGGCTTCCATCCTCGTAGCCCCCCCTCAGAACCGAAGGCCATGCACGACCACGCAGCCCCCAGCCTATCGGGACACAATGGCACGATGACTCCTCGGGGGGAAGGATGGACGAGGAGCAGAGGGACGACGTGGAAGAGCACATGCAGAGCCTCTTCGAGGGCCTCGCCATCGATTGGAAGGCCCTCGGAACTCGCCCTCAAGGCCTCTTCCTCCTCCTCCTCCTCCTCCTCCTCCTCATCATCATCATCATCAGCATCATCATCATCACCACCACCACCACCACCACCACCACCATCATCATCATCATCATCATCATCATCATCATCATCATCATCATCATCATCATCATCATCATCATCATCATCATCATCATCATCATCATCATCATCATCATCATCATCATCATCATCATCATCATCATCATCATCATCATCCATCATCTCATCATCATCATCATCATCATCATCATCATCATCATCATCATCATCATCATCATCATCATCATCATCATCATCATCATCATCATCATCATCATCATCATCATCATCATCATCATCATCATCATCATCATCATCATCATCATCATCGTCATCATCATCATCAGCATCATCATCATCATCGTCATCATCATCAGCAGCATCATCATCGCCATCATCATCATCATCATCATCAGCAGCAGCAGCAGCATCGTCAGCATCATCAGCATCGTCATGATCATCATCATCAACATCATCATCATCATCATCATCATCATCACCATCATCATCATCACCATCACCACCACCGCCATCATCACCATCATAACAATCATCAATTACCAGCATCAGCGTTATTGCAATCATCATCCTCATCCTCCTCATCATCATCAGCAGCATCATTATCAGCATCATCATTATCACCATCACAATCATCATCAGCATCATCATCGTCATCATCATCACCATAGCCACCATCACCATCACAATCAGCATCAGCACCAGTATCAGCATCAGCATCATCATCATCATCATCATCATCATCAGCATCCTCATCATCATCATCACCACCACCACCACCACCATCATCATCATCATCATCATCATCATCATCATCATCATCATCATCATCATCATCCTCATCCTCATCCTCATCCTCATCCTCATCCTCATCCTCATCCTCATCCTCATCCTCATCCTCATCCTCATCCTCATCCTCATCCTCATCCTTCCTCCTTCCTCCTTCCTCCTCCCTCCTTCCTCCCTCCTTCCTCCTTCCTCCTTCCTCCTTCCTCCTTCCTCCCTTCTCCTTCCTCCCTCGTCCTCGTTCTCGCCCTCCTCCTCCTCCTCCTCCTCGCTCTTCCTGGGGGCCCTGGGACATGTAAAAATACGGATGATCCGCGCTCCACAGAGACCCGAAACACTCGATCCTCGGTGCCAAAGAGGCCCCCAAACCAGGAGGAGGAGGAGGCGGAGGCGGAGGACGAGGACGAGGACGAGGAGGAGCAGGAGGAGGAGGAGGAGGAGGAGGAGGAGGAGGAGGAGGAGGAGGACGAGGACGAGGAGGAGCGGGAGGACGAGGACGAGGACGAGGGCCATGCTCCTTCTTGCACATTGCTCAAGCTTCGCGCGCCGCTGAGGCCCCGATCCCTCGCAGATCACACCAGATTCGCACCCCCCCCCTCTGATCCCAGTTCCCCCTGTGAACACGGAGGCCTCGCGGGGCCTCCAGGGGCCTCTTGGAAGCGCCTCGTCCCGACCTCCCCGAACACCTCTGGCTGCCTCTGTCCTCACGGGGGCCGTCCCCCCGGGTCGGCGGCACCGGCCGTAGGGCCTTAGCAATACTCCAGATCCAAGCCGCAGAGTATTGACAAATCGATGTCCGGCACTCCATCAGGACTGTCCCAGCCTTCGGTCGGGCATGTCCTCCGACAGGGCGATTCTGAACGACAGATGAAACATACGCAAAACGTGCCCCAAATAGCCAAACATCAACAAATCGTCCCCGAACTATTTCTCGACTACTCCAGATTTCGTAATGAAGGGAAGGGGGTCTCATTTCGGGGGGGGTCTCTTCCAGGCTATCTTGGAGGGCCTGGGGAGGTCTGGGGACGATGTTTCGGAGGGTTCTCCCACGGGGGGGGGGTCTGAAATGGCTTGTCTTGGAGGGTCCAGACCCCCTCCCTTTTATTACGAGATTTGGAGTATGTTTGAATGCTCCTCCTGTAGAGGGACAGGCCCGATTTGATCCCAGCCTCGAACTGTGATGCCGCGGATCGACCTGGACGCGCCGGCCAAGGACAAGAGCTTCGCGCCTCGCCCTGCAGATCCGCGGGCCCCCGCCTGCTGGGGCGGAATGACAGCCGTGTGGAGGAGGAGGAGGAGGAGGAGGAGGAGGAGGAGGAGGAGGAGGAGGAGGAGGAGGAGGAGGAGGAGGAGGAGGAGGAGGAGGAGGAGGAGGAGGAGGAGGAGGAGGAGGAGGAGGAGGAGGAGGAGGAGGAGGAGGAGGAGGAGGAGGAGGAGGAGGAGGAGGAGGAGGAGGAAGGAGGAGGAGGAGGAGGAGGAGGAGGAGGAGGAGGAGGAGGAGGAGGAGGAGGAGGAGGAGGAGGAGGAGGAGGAGGAGGAGGAGGAGGAGGAGGAGGAGGAGAGAGGAGAGAGGAGGAGGAGGAGGAGGAGGAGGAGGAGGAGGCTCTGGAGACTCTGGATGACGACGAGGTGTGCCGAGAACGATGCACCAAGCCACAGAACAAATACTCATAACCGACGAACGCTAACGATCGCCGCGTCCGAAAATCGGAACAGGCCTGGAGAAGCCATTACCGACCTTCTCCCCAGACGGCCCCTTCCCCTGGATGAGGCACCTACGCTTGAAGTGCCTCGGAGAACCCAAGGGCGGCCTGCCCAAACAGGGTTTGGAAATCAAAAACGCTCTAGAGACACACCTAGAGGCACATTCACAACACCAAACCATTGGTCCAGTGCGCCAGAGCTTATGGGACGGGTGCGCTTCACGGACCCCTTTCGGGTCCCCCAAACACGGAAGGCTCGCCAAGTCACAGCGACGAGCGCGACTATCTCCGCACCTCCCGCACACCCATCGTCCCCTAAACCTGTGAATTACGTGTCCTCCATCTTCGGAGAGGACAACATGAACATCGCGTGCTGGCCTGCCCTCATTCACCTGCTGCGCATCCCTCCATCCTCCTTTCTGACACAGGCGCAGAACGCGCAAAACACTCTGAAGCGTAAGTGGGACTGCCGCCTCGCGCAGCTTCCTCAGTTTCTCATTGTACTTCTCGCGCGGGTGGCAGTCGGCCCCATGCGCGCATCGTAATCTGCACTTTTGTTCCCATACCAGTATGGCATGATGATGCCTTGATCAGTCGCCCTGGTTCTCGACGTATGCGAAGGGATCCAAACACATTCAATTTCCGACGTGCCAATGTCTTGAACAACGCGCCAGAAAGACTTCCACAATTCCATATATTGATGGCCAGTATGGCAGCCATAGGGATGGCCAAACGTCCAACCTTTCATGCGATCTTTGTAGTCCGTCACAATCGTGATATGTTCAGCCGATTTGTGTTGCAGTGCTCTGGTTGCTGCCATGATCTCTCCTGCTCCAGACGTCTGCCATGGGTAAGGCACGGGGCCTGAAGCAGCCGCCACCGTCGCTCCAGCCTCGTCAATCATAACGAAAGACCAACCAGCTCGTGCACGAACTTCACAATGTGGAAAAATACAACTCCCATCCGTACAAACCACACCGCTGATAAGTCCACTCACCGTACACTTATGCCAGTTGATGACGTTCTCCGTAGTCGGCAAGGGCGCATCATAGGTCGGATCTGGCATGAGCCCCTTGGTAGTCATCATCGTGTGTGGATGCCGTTGCCCGTGCTCCTGCCTGCCCCGCTGCAGCAGGGTCCGCTCTTCTCCAGTCCAGCTGTACCGCTCCAGCGCATGCCAATCACATCTGTAAATACGATGCGTATCCGTGCCAGCTTCCACCCCACACATGGCACACAATGGGCTGTGTACTGCACGCACCTGATGTAGTCTCTCCTGGCAGTAGAAGCCTCCCGCCAGCCATGTTCGAATCAGCCCAGCCCCTTTGTAGTCCTCAAGCGCCCTGAGCTTGCCGATGAACTTCTTGGCTGGTTCCAACAGGGGCGGTCCCGTGAGCCCCTCCATTCCCCTAGAATTGGGAAGTTCACGTAAAAGTCGGCGTTGCATAGCTTGATTGACCACCTTCTTGAGAGTCGCAGGGCCCATGTCATGCAAGTCCAACTTCGCACCACGTTCTGTGTACCAGCAATCCCACGATGCCGCCTTCCAACCGAGCCTCTTGAGGGTCATGACCACAGCACCTGCTGGCCCACGTACGCTCCGCCATGTCGCACAGTTATTCTGCGCCTGCACGAATGCCAAAGCCATAGCCCGATTCTTGACCCAATGTCCGTGTAAAGCCCTAATCCAATACACAAGTGGGTGCTCACCCGCCGCAAACGTGGGATCCGCTCTAGGACAATGCGAAAGCTGAAACCCCATGGTCCTGCACCTTCCACGAGCCGTTCCAAACAAGGCATGTCCAGCAATGCTTCTTACCTGCTTCAACTGGGTGTCTGACATGCCTTTCACCTTCACAGTGTAAGTCGCGGAAGCCAAGCCTCCACCACGGAACAGCCTTCCCATTTGACGTCCTCCCAACGCCAATCGTCGGTAGCGTGAAATTCGCTTTGACGTAGCCAGGACGCGAGTCTGCTGCACCACTCCGCCTGACCCTCGTCGTAATGTCCGATCATGCCCAAGCTGTTTCACCGTGCGGTGCCGCCTGAACTTATGTTGCTTAAGGGCCGTCTCAATCTGCTTCTCCAACTCCGTGCTGGTCGCGATGACATGCCCTTCATTCGGACTGAGCTCTAGACCTAGATCTACCAGCTCCTTGCACAACCTTCTCGCAGCAGGTATGAGGACCTTTATAACTTGATCATGAGTTCCTGTAGCCTGCAAGCTCCCATCATCCACCACCTGTGTAAGACTGAGAGACGGCCACAGCGTATAGACCTGTTCGTACGCTCCCAGTGTGAAGAGCATCATCATAGTTGTAGCAAACCCGCACCCAGCTATAACTCCGTGATTCGTCTTGACCATCTCTGAGACCATGCTACCATGCCGAATCATGCGTCCACCAACATGCGATTTGAGAAGCAGGGCCGGCCGTGATCGCTTGAAACCGTGCCTGCACCCGACTGCCCATAGGGTCGCATGCGGTATCTTCTCGAAAGCTTTCTTCAGGTCTAGCATCACAGTTGCCGTGTGCCTTTTGAGCGCTAGACCAGCTTCAGCCATGAGCGACTGTGTCCACACCGCCTGCTCAGAGCTGCGTCCTGCCACCGCGTAGTGATAGTCCTTGACATTTCTGTCGAGCCACTCCTGCTGGTCAGCCTTATGGCACTTGTTGTAGACGCGTAGAAGGTCAGGTAGGAGCCCAATAAGTCTATGCCCTCCTTCAGGCTTCGGCAACCTCGGCATGATGTTGTGTGTGAGCTGCGGCGGCAACTCCCCAATGACCTCCGCCTTCTGCATGATTTTAGCAAAAGCCGTGAGCGCGTCATCAGAGAGCAAGGCAACATTCTTCGGACCCAGGTTGTCAATACCCTAGGCCGTATTCACTTTGAATGTTGCAGCCACCGTCCGTATGTGATCACTGGTCAAAAGCTTCACCTCTTGCTCGATAGTTTGTAATCGTAGCCCTGCTCCAAAACTTTGCTCCTCCTCACGGTACCTCCAGACGTGCTTCCACTCCCCCAAGTCCGCCTGTAGACGTGCCGCATGTGACTGCACACCTTCCGCGGGGTGAATGTCGGCCTGCGTCCACGTCGTGGGTAACTTTGACCATCTATGTGCCTGCTTGTCGCCCTTCTCGATTACCTCAGCAATCAACTTCCTCCACTGCTTGACTCGGCTGTTGGCAAACCTGACCTCTATAGCAGTGGCCTCTTGGGCAGCACTCCAACTTGCCTCTCGCAGCCAGTCGTCGTTCCAACTGAATTCATGGTCATGCCGGTAGCACCGGATGTCCCATTGCACTCCCATGTCCAAGCTCTTTTTCTTCTGAATCTTCATAGTGTTGAACCTGTCTTGAATAAACTTGCAATCGTGCGCCCATCCTCGCTTGCATGCATATAGTAAATCCACCATAGCCATTGAAGCACGTCTCCAGACTCTGGATGTGGGGTTACCTTGGGGTGGCCGTCCTGGCGCCTTTCTAACCGATGCCACCAGTTTGAAAGCGGGGTCCGTAGATTGCGCACGACCTCGACATGCTTTCCCGTGCCTATCATCAAGCTGAAACCGTTGTACGAGTTCACCCTCAGCCAACGCATGCCACTGTGCAAAGCACCATTGAAGGTCTCCTTTGTCTTGGACATAGTCACATTCACCAAGTACTTTCAGATATGAAGGTGGAGGCGGTTGTGCTCCTAGCGGGCATACCTTCGGACACTTCTTGGGTATTTTGAGCTGCTGCTCGAGCGCTGCACCTGGCCCAACACGTAGTGATAGTCGGACTCCAGAGTGCGTCGCAATCGAAAGCCCCTCTATCCTTGATACATCCATGATAAGGCCCTTGAAAGGTTTGCTAACAACAAAGTAATCCAGCACCCTGCCTTCACCACATGCGCAAGTCCATTGCGTCGGCGCCGCTATCATCGCAGGCACCTGTGGTAGGATATTGAGGTCGTTGAGTTCTTGAGGAGTCATGTTCCAATCACCACCTATAATGAAGGGCCTGCCGAGTCTCTGTAACTGCTCCATCGCCGACAAAATGATCCGCTTGTTAGAACCTTCATATTCACGCACTGTGTGCCCAGATATTAGGTCGATTGAAGCGAGAATGGAACCTCCTGGCAGCATCCCATCAACCCACTGCATCGCCCATCGCCATTGTGGTACACCAACCCCTCCAAGATCGGGTGGTATAGCAGAAGCGATATCCTGTCGCACTCCAACTGCCACTCCAGAACTGGCTGCATGTCCTTCACCTTTTGATGCCGGTGGGATATGACAATTCCATCCTTGATGTTGTAGCCTTTGTCGCGCATCCCCAATGTTAGCCTTGAGGATCTTATGTTCCTGATACAAGATGCCATCCGTATCGGGAAACAACTCCGTGATCTCTGTGGTTGCCATACTCATCTTCACCGCCTCCTTCTGCGCTGCCGTAATATTCACTGTGACAAAGGTCCAGTCACGCTCGTGCCGCGCAACATCAGAGACAGGAAACTCAGAAGTCACCTCACCGCCTCCATCTCGAAAACCATGCCCGTGATGCTCTTGGGCGG